CTATTTCCCTCTTATTTTGACCATCATTCACCATCTTATCTTTAGTAACCATAAAATCACTCATGTTCTTGTTGGTTATCTCATTTAAAGTAGGCCAAGGACCTTTAAGAATGGTTTCCATATTATGATTATCATCGGATTTAGAAGCCTTATGAGGATTTTTCTTTTGATTGTGAAAATCCTCTTTCTTGTTCACCAATGAAGTATTTAGCTTAACTAACTTTCCTTAATTTGAAGCCTTACCTTTCTCCATTATTCAATTATTAGGAATCAAACCTTTTTTCATCTTTTGCTCCTAACATAGCAAACCTAACATATCTCCACACTAACTTGCTGCGTCACCATACTTTCATCTGAAAATAAATCCTCACCATCTGAGGACATTAATGCATTTTTAAATGAGGGATTATGGTGGACTACCATATGATTTCTTTCTATCGTATCCTTCCTAAATTTTGCAATGAAGGTATAACCAATCTTACTTTTCAAGGTTTAAGTATAACCTATCTACCTTTTCAAGAAAGTATAGCCTTTACAATAGTGAATCACAAGATGAAATGCCTCTAGCTAAGCCGATCGAAGACTTTGAGTACATGAGAATGACACAAAGATTAAGGAATTCAAGCTCTTGGCTGATGTTCTATTTTTGAGAAGATTTGTAAAGTGTGAAAGAGAAATATGATCTAGAGAAATAAGGCTTTTCTCTCATCTTGAAATGAAGTACACTTTTTTTTTCTTTTCTTGGTACTCTCTTTTATTTGAAATGTTGCTTTTGGATATATATATATATATATATATATATATGCATATATATATACACGCACATATATATATGCATATATATATATATATATACATAAATATATATATATAGCCTCTCACAAAATCTAGTTGTTAGAGAGAAAGAGGAATTCAAAAATTCAAACCATTGGCATTAGGGCCACTTTAGTCAAGTATGTCACTCATCAGGAATCGAACATTGCCTAACGAAAGTTGACTCTTCATGCCCTAGTTTTAATCCTGATGCTTTCTATTTTCTAGGGATCAATCATTTAACCATCAAGAAGTTGATTCTTTTTTACCTACTTTAAGGTAAAGACATTTTGTTTCACATGAATTGATCATTCATTTTCTGAGAAGTCGATTCTTCATGACTTTTGAGCGTTTTGAAATGTCAAACTTTGGTTTTTCCATTCAAATTTCCCCCTTTTTAACTTTTTTAACTAGTTTCCATCTCTCCTTTGGCTTCTTCAAAATGTTTCCAATCTTTCTTCACTTTGCCTAAAGGAATTAATCATTGGAGACTTAAGAAGTCGATTCTTGCTATCTAGATTCTTTTGATCTAATAGCTTTTTATTTTGTAAGAATCGATGGTTCACTCCTTGACAAGTTGATTCCTTTCTATTACAAATAAGAAATATAGCTTTCTATTTATCAAGGAATCATTTCTTCAAGGAATCATTTCTTCACTCCTAGAAGTTGATTCTTTTTTGCTGGAACTTGATTTTAAAGCATTCAAATAATTTTATCTTTCACAAACAACTTTAAAAACTCTTTAGGGAAAGTTCTTTCATTTTAAAGATGTTTTTTTAGGCTCACAAACATATTTAAATCATTGAATTCTATCATTTCCAAACTAAAGTCAATTTCAAAAAAGACAATAATTGAGGGGTTTATTTGATTATGCCATTAAATTTCTAAACATTATAATTTGAAAAAATTTGTTGAAAACCAAAATTTTCATATGGTGTTCCCTATGATTAAAAGTTTTGTTATGTTACAATATTTGATATTCTGAGGTCTTAAACATTTTTTCCTTTTTTATTTTTTTTGTTCTTTGGTTTTACAAATGATCATTTCATCCCTTGCTTCATAATTTAATTAAATACTTGCATATCTTTTATAGTATATATGGTTTTTGGACTACAAAAAAGGGGATAGCTTCTCTTATCCATGAACTCTACCATATTGATTTCAGTATATATTTTTAAGATTTTAGAGTTGGATTTTCAAATTCAAACCGTTGATATGTCCCCTTAAAATCTTATATACTTGGATTTCGAGAATAAGACCCTAAGTTAGAATTAAATATTAAGTTAAAGCCTCAAATTGTAGACTATTTTACTATGTTGGGCAGGGTACAAATACAGGACTATAATCTTAATAATAAAGTTGTTATCGCATCACCATAGATACTAACTAGCGGCTATTACATCGAAGGTTATTGTAAATGAATAAATATTCCGCTAAAACTACAAACTGCTACTGTTTCATATCTTATCCTCTTAACATTTTTCCCTGCTCGACAGACTACAATTGATATTTTTATTTTATTTTATTTTATTGAATATTGAGAAGAAGAATAAGTTGGACAAAGAAAGCAGAAAGGAGACAAAATAATACCCGATTTAAGGCCAATTATTTGGCTAGCCAAGCTGATCATACATAATGGAGTAGTGCATTACTTTTTTTTTTTTTAATTCATTTTTGTTTCGTTTTCACCCTGAGACACTAGATTTAGGGCAGAAACTAAAAGGGGTTATTTAGTTCCTGAGGCCAAAGCCAAATTGGAGTTAGGACAAATGAAACTAATTAATAGATAACATTAATGGAAGTCATAATTGTTTTCCAAGAAATTAATTAAAGATTAGCCCACAGAATTAATCAATAATGCCCAACATGATCAACATGGTACGCTAGTGATTATGTTTTTACACATGGTGTTAACTCGGTTTTCAATCTTTAGTTAAGCTCATAAGGTGCTTTAATTAAAGGATTTTTCAAGCATTGAGGCTGATAGTAGCTTAAGCTAATAGTATATTAATCCACACAAACGGTGATAGTTTTTGGTGCTGGAAAGAAGAGATAAATCTTTCATTTGGATGCACCCATTTAATCATCATTTCCCTTTAAAATCGTTTAGGAATTGATAGAACTTAGATGAGGAGTATAGATTTTACGATGTCCCCTGTAGAGATTAGAATTTTTCTCAAAAATGATATGTTGGGATTAGTTTCCCTCGTTTAATTATAATTTAATAAAGTTCACTCCCAAAGAAAAAAAAATTATTATATATATATATATATATAATTAAGATTGAGATTAGCATGGGCTAACTATAAGTATTTAGTAGTGCCAGTCAAAGATAGAGACAACAACCAAGGATTCACTCGTGACTCTTCTCTGTTCTAATCATACAATCATGAAATGTTGATTATGCAATGAATACTCACAATTTATACAAGTGATAGACACATGAAAAATAATTTTCTAATAATTTTTTTATGATGATTTTATAGAGTGAGAGATATATAACATTCAATTATATTTCCCTTCATGCACTCAACCTATTCCATCCCATTTTTGGTCCTTGATTGGACCAGCTACAGCTCAAAGCCACAACTTTTTTTTTTCTGAACCTGAAGAATGAGATATACACCATTATTACCTTACAAAGTTACCTGGGAACGACTGCGAGAGAAGTATGTTGCTTGGACTGCTGCATATAAGTACATAACTGCGCCATTTAATTTTCATTTAATAAGCACTTTTTTCGGCTGCTATATACTCATTTAAGCACTTCGAGTTCTAAATTTATTACTTAATATCTTAACTAATTAAGCATAGAAATGAAGATATGTGAGAAGAACATTATAGGACAACCTTTTTCCAAAAAAGAAAATTAAGAAAATATAATTTTTTTATGGCCTACTTCTCTTAAGAAAATATAATTTCTTAATTAAATATATATAATATTTGAAGTAATCTTAGGGCAGAAACCAAATAGGAGGCTAAATTAATAATCTATATATAATATTCTTTCAAAAAAATTAATTGTCTATATATATTTGAGCAGATAAAGCCTTTCAAAAAAAATATGTGATAGATAAACATTAATCGGTGTCAGTTTCAATTTTTTTTTCTCAACTGAAATTATATACATATATATATATATATATATATATATATTTCAGATCAAATCCTCCCTGATTATCTGGAAGCAATTCCCTTTGATAGTTGAATATTGAGGACAGAATATATGCTTAATGAGCCAAAGTTTGTTATAAGTCACAAGGAGGAGAAGGAGAAGAAGAAGTATAAAATCCTCACAACTTCTCAGGGATTGCACAAGGTTTGACAGATAGGGCTGCCAGGTACATATGGAGACTTTTCAAAAAGCGTCGGTCAAAATTGAAGCCCGAGATGCTTAAATTTCCAACTCTCAGCTCTTTGCCGCACCTAACTCAAGTCCAAAAAATAAGCACGATAGCTCTTAGAAACAGGTTTCCATGTCGATACACAGAACTTAACATGTAACTATCTATACTACATGATGATTTCTCCCCTCAAAACATGTACGGAGGAAATTGGGAATAATTAATAAGTTTAAAGGATAATAATATTGTTATTATTCATAAATAAATAGTAATCCAAAGTAATAGATGATACATACATTATATTTATTTCTTGTAGGTAAGTAAATTGTGTCAGTCTTAAATACCATGATAAAATTAAAAAGATAAAACCAATCAATACAAAAATAAGACAACTACTAGGGATCATTAAAAACCCTTGCCTGATCAGTTATCATGTACATGATGTATTAACTGCTGGGGCTTAGTAATTAGGTTTTACACTTCAAAGAGAGAGTTTCTGCAAACTTTCTCATAAATGGTAAAGCTAGCAGTATAAAGTTACTATGTTTGTAAATATATAGGGAAATGGATGGTTTTGAGGATTGAAAACGAGGATTTAGAGCTAGATGGTCAAAAGAAGGGACAGGAGGGAACTGAAAAGAGAGAGGGTGTCCACGCCATGGAGAGACAGCCACCTGTACTTATATGTAACCATTCTCTGTAGTTAACTTAACCACATAAGTTGGTTACTTGTTAACCCCAGAGGCTAAAGGCCGAAACCCTGGCTTCACAGTTCGCACTCTCCCAATCCCCTAATGGTCCCCTACCCTTTCTTTCATTTCAATACAACAACAATGTCAATCACCCACCTTGACCTTCCCTCCCCTCCGCTTCTACTCACTCCTTTGAAGGCGCCCTTATATAATTCTCTTTCTCTTCCTCTCTCACTCTCTCTCTCTCTCTCTCTAACCCCCTAGGCCCTATATATATATATATTCCTCTAAAGTTACATCTCTTGTAAATTATACTCTTTTTTTCTCTGTGCTCTCATTTTCTCTCTCTCTCTCTCCCAATATCCTCCCTTTCATCAGCCATACATATTTATCAAAAAATTGCAGTGTATCAACTAGTATATCAGCAGCAGCAGGAGCAGCAGCACTTGTCATAGAAACACAGAGATTTTATCCTCTTTTAAGTTAGTTAAATAACGGTTATTTACTCTCCCCATTTTGCCCTCTGTAAGACATCTCCCTTTCAATGCTCTTCATCTGCTTCCGACACAAGCTTAAACTCCAGAACTAGATCTTCCCACCCTGAACACTCTTTCCAGCTTTACATAAAATTAAGATCTATTTCCAGAAAAAGAAAAAAATGATCACCTGGAAGGATCTTTACAGCGTTTTGACAGCGGTGATCCCACTGTATGTGGCTATGATCTTAGCTTACGGCTCTGTCCGTTGGTGGAAAATTTTCTCCCCTGACCAGTGCTCTGGTATCAACCGCTTTGTCGCCATATTTGCTGTTCCCCTCTTGTCTTTCCATTTCATTTCCACCAACGACCCTTACGCCATGAACTTCAGGTTCATCGCGGCCGACACCCTTCAGAAAATCATCATGCTATTTGTTCTTGGGTTGTGGACTAATTTCACTAGAAACGGAAGCCTGGAATGGATGATCACCATTTTCTCTCTATCCACTCTACCCAACACTCTAGTCATGGGCATTCCTCTATTAATCGCTATGTACGGGCGTTACTCAGGAATGCTAATGGTTCAGGTCGTGGTTCTCCAGTGTATTATTTGGTACACTCTTCTTCTTTTCCTTTTCGAGTACCGTGGTGCCAAAATACTCATCATGGAGCAGTTCCCGGAAACTGCAGCTTCCATAGTTTCCTTCAAAGTTGATTCCGATGTGGTATCACTAGATGGCCGTGATTTTCTTGAAACCGACGCTGAAATTGGCGAAGACGGAAAGCTTCACGTTACTGTGAGGAAATCCAATGCTTCCAGGAGGTCCTTGGGGCCCTCTTCGCTTCCTGCATTGACGCCGAGGCCTTCGAACCTCACTGGAGCTGAGATATACAGTTTGAGCTCTTCTCGGAATCCGACTCCAAGAGGTTCGAATTTTAACACCTCGGACTTTTATTCCATGATGGGAATTCAAGGTTTTCCTGGAAGGCAGTCTAATTTCGGTCCAGCCGATTTGTACTCTGTTCAATCCTCCAGAGGACCAACTCCAAGACCATCAAATTTTGAGGAAAATTGTACGGTCATGTCTCCAAGATTTGGATTTTATCCAGCACAGACAGTTCCTACATCGTACCCTGCTCCAAATCCTGAATTCTCATCCGTAACAAAGAACAGTAAAAGTAGCCAGCCGCAGCAGCAACAACAACAAGTTCAACCGCAGCAACAGCAGCAGCAGCAGAAGGAGAATACTAAAGTGAATCACGATGCAAAGGAATTGCACATGTTTGTGTGGAGTTCCAGTGCTTCGCCGGTATCAGAAGGCGGAGGACTTCATGTCTTTGGTGGGACAGATTTTGGAGCATCCGAGCAATCTGGACGATCTGATCAGGGAGCTAAAGAGATCAGGATGTTGGTTGCTGATCACCCTCAAAACGGGGAAAACAAAGGTATAATAATCTAATTAACAAATTCATCTAATCAGTTAACAATTACTTAAGTTGATACTTAGTAAAATGTTTTGAATTTCTTAAAATTGTTTAATACTACGGAGTACATAATAGAATTGTTGCTTTTGGTGTGAAGCTGCGCCTGCCATTGGTGACTTTAATGCAGAGGACTTTAGCTTTGCTGGGAGAGATGGGGAGGAGGAGAGAGAGAAAGAAGGGCCCGCTGGACTCAATAAGTTGGGGTCAAGTTCAACGGCTGAGCTGCACCCTAAAGCTGCCGGAGCACCGGAGTCCGGCGTTGGCAAACAAATGCCTCCTGCTAGTGTGATGACCCGCCTGATCTTGATCATGGTCTGGCGCAAGCTTATTCGAAACCCCAACACATACTCCAGCCTCATTGGACTTGTTTGGTCTCTAATTGCTTTCAGGTCAGCTGTAATTAATTAATCAAGGCTCTAACTTGGTTGGACAAGTCCCCCCGGTTTTTGGCATTTAGATGTCGTAAATAAATTTACGGGTTTGGGTTTGGGGTTTTCATTGCAGGTGGCATGTGCATATGCCGAAAATAATAGAGCAGTCTATCTCCATCCTCTCAGATGCTGGACTGGGAATGGCCATGTTTAGCTTAGGTGAGCATTTCGGGTTATTTGCTTTATCTTCAAGTAATATTATTAGTATTACTTTTTCTTTGCTTTTCTTTTCTTTTGTTTTCTTCTTTTAGAAAACAACAGTAATGCGAATAAGTCCAAGGGCTTGAAGTGCACTTGACCTAAATAAATCTAGTAATCATTCGAAACCAATTCTATAAGGTAACAAGTATACGCCCTCACTGACCAAGTTTAACTATTTCTGATTTTTTTGCTCGGTTCAGGCAACTATGTACTAATTAAGGTGACTGATATTATTAGAAAATGAAAAAAAAAATCATCATGTATTACAGGAACTGTGACAATTGCTAGACCACACCAAGGTGTGGTAGGGCATATAGTTTGGTACTGATGTATACGCTGTCTAAGCAATGGGATGGTTACACAGCTCACAGCCATGCACCTTTTTTTATTATTGTTATTATTTTTGAATTTTTTGTTATCATAAGAAATTGGAGGTTAATCTTTGGACTGAAAATCGGATTGACCTCCCGACATGTGGGGTCGTCTTGCGACGTTGGCTAGCGGTCCAGGGTCGGTGGGCATTGGTTGTAATAGATGCCATTTTGGCCCCATGTTAGTGAAGGTGGTTGAATTGAAAGATTAGGGTTTAAATGTCACTTATCGTTTTCTAGTTGGAGTCCTAACTTTGGTTGTTATATGGTTAAAGGTCTGTTTATGGCTCTGCAACCCAAGATCATCGCTTGTGGGAATTCTGTGGCCTCCTTTGCCATGGCCGTTAGGTTCTTGACCGGTCCGGCTGTCATGGCTGCAGCTTCAATTGCAGTAGGGTTGCGTGGCACGCTACTCCGCGTTGCCATTGTTCAGGTAAAATTTAGTTATCTTCCTCAATAACTATATATGCAGGTTGGTGTATGTATTCTTTGAATGTTATAAGTATTTGCTAATCAAGTGATGTCTAATTTTGTTGTCTATTTAGGCTGCTCTGCCACAGGGAATTGTACCATTTGTGTTTGCCAAAGAATACAATGTTCACCCAGCAATTCTTAGCACAGCGTAAGTGAAACCTGGATTAATCGCTACAATTCAATTCAGTTCAATTCCATTTTGTAATCAAAACTTCTGTAGCTGATGCCTGAATTTGTAAATATTTGCAGGGTCATCTTTGGGATGTTGATAGCATTGCCGATAACGCTTGTGTACTACGTCCTTCTAGGATTATGAAGATCATTTGGGTTTTTTTCCCATAGCAAGGCAGAATATGAGGGGAGTTTTCGTGTGGTGATTGCGTGTCATACGTTTTGGGAGCGTCGATCACAGCCTGATTACGTTGTTAATTATAACATGAGGATTTTCCGGTAAAGAAGAAGTTAGTACAAAAGAATTTGCCAAAGGTTCCAAAATTTTTGGAGCTAGCTTAGCTAAGATATTTGACTTAGTGAAGGTCCCCTGATATAAGGATCATGCCCCCATTAAAAGCCAAGTTTATCCAATTTCCTAGAGTTTTGAGAAGAAAAAAGAAAAGAAGGCCACTCCAGCACAAGGGAGACATTGAAGAGGAAAACGAGGGGAAAAAAAACAGGTGGTCACTTGATAATCTTATTAATTCTCTTCATCTCCCTTATGCTTTGTAAAGTTTAATTTCAAAGTTAAATGTCTATAATATTGCAAAGCGACAAGGGATATGATTAATGAAATGAAGTAGAAAGGGTTTTCCTTTTTCTGTTTAGTTTTTAATCTTTTTTTTTTTGGGTATTTTTCTATTAGTTTTTCTTTTGTTCCTAATGTCGGGTTTCGGATTGTCCGTAGAACCGGCAATTATTTGCGTTTGTCGTCTTTCTTTTTGGTTTGCCAAGGACTTCATTGATCATTGCTCACTCACCTTTAATTGCTAATTACGAAGACTGACGATGGATTTTTGATTTAGACAGCGACGTTTCTCTAATGAACTTTCACGCAAAGGATAAAGGAAAAAAGCAAAATTATGCAAGAAAGATAATGAGAGTGAGGGGTCCCTTTTGGTGGAGGGGTTGGAACCTGTTTGCTTAGAGACTTAATGTGTTTTTTGTTGAAGGTGAAAAGAGGGGAAGCCCAAGTCAAAAGCAGCTAGCTAGCTAGCTATGCTTAGCTTTTGCTTTTAGCTTTCGATGCGCCCCAACCCCTCAACCCTCAAAGCTATGCTTTTAGCTAAGTCGTCATTCTAGTTAGGGTGTGGTGGCTTTGGTCAAACATTTCAACTTCTTCCTTGACCGGGTGTTGGGGTTACACTGGCTGCTGCCACGTTGATTTATGCAAAAATTAACATCAAAATTGATTCAATTTCAACTAGAAACCATTTTCATAATCAAATTGGGATTGGGATGATATGAAAGATGCTTATGTTTAAGGTGATTGGGACCTCCACAATCTCTTTGGGTGTCCATCTCAACTTTTTTATTAATTCGATGGAAATGCCAATTTTAGGTATTGATAATTTAATCCTTTTTTAAAAGTTTTCATAATGGAATTTAGAGATTAGAAAAAACAAATTGAAAATAATTAATGATGAGAATATTTTATTTTTAAATATTTCAGTGAAGTCGAACCAAAAAAAAAAGAAATAAATGTTTCAGTGATTGGGGAAAATGTTGACTTCTACCTTAAATGCATACAAAAGAGACTGCTCTCACATTTTAATAGTTCGTAGTTATACTTGGTTAATATACTTTCCGTTTATACTTAAAAAAATAAAAGACTCCTCGATGCTAAGAAGGGTGCTTTAAATATATAAATCTTAGTAAGTTAAATTCAAATATATGTTAAGTTTGTTGATTCTTTATATATATATATATATATGATTGTAATTTCTATTTATACATGTAATACAAAATCTAACTAATCAAAATCATGAAATTAATATATTAGAATTTAAAATTTTAATTATATATCAAAATAATTTAAATTTTTAATTTCGCTTCAATCAAGTATTTAATTAAACATTAATAGATACATGTACTGTCTTTTTTTTTTAATAAAAAAGAAGAGTGAGATTCACATAATCTCCTTTCCTCAAACAAAACAAAAACTTTGAGTTTCCCTCTTGCAAGTGAAGAAAAGAAATGTGAAAAGCATAGAGAAATTGATCCAACCAACAAGAGGTGGCACCTTTCACAACATTCTCTTCAATCAAACGACACGCCATTTAGTGAGTAGAAAGCAAGTGAGAGGCCCAAGGTTTCAATTTGGCTGCAGCCTGTAGTACTGGAAGGGAACATACGCACCTCCCAGTCTACACCCCTGAATTTGCTTCGAAGCCTCAACCTCTCCACCGTAATCACTACTCAAACGATTCACTTGATCAGCAATCCCGTAAAGTCCATCTTATTGAAGTAAACTTCTTTCTTTCTTTCTTTCTCAATCAAATCTATCTTTGGCATTTAATGCTAGGCTTTGCAGAGCAATTTATCAGGGAAATGAGAAGACTATTGGCAGTATTAATTTCATCGAGACCAACATGCCCCGCCAGATAACGATGGGTCTGTGTGCGTGGAGACACTGAATCACCGGGGTTAGTACGGACTCACATGGTTTTGTTAGCAAATTGCAACAAAAAAAGGCTCAGACTCCCACGTGTGCGCTTCCTCGTTCAACCTCATTTTCTGCTCTATTTAACTACGCCCAAAATCCATCCCTATCCTCGCCTTTGGACCACACCTTAAAGAGAAACGAATGTGGTGGATTAAGAACTATAAATTGGATTAGAACAAGTAGACAAGGATATTGGCAATTTGATCACCCAAGCATCTTGCTATTTGATGAGTTATTTTTAATTAAATTATATTGTATAATAAGATAATTTGATGTAATTTTCAAGCTAACTCATATATCTTTATTAGTTCCATGAATTTGGTATAATAATTGCATGGTAAATGTCACCTTATATATATTAAATAAATATAATTTGAGAGGTTTATGATGTTTTATCCTTAAGCATTTGTTAGATAAATACAGTGATTTGAAAAGATTGTTGCTATCACACTAATTTCAAGAATGATAATCTCAAAAATGAAAAGATACATGATCATGAGGATATACAATCAATGGTACAATTAGAAACGTTAACAATGGAGAATAGACTATTATTTATTAGCAAGTGATCACCCTCCTAATTCCAAATGGTTGGGTTTTGGAATTAGGCCTATGGTCCAGTCTAGTCAACGAGCAGCAGAGATTTAGGCTTTTAGCCCATCAATAATCAAACTGATCTTCAAGGATGCTAGGCCCGCAGCATCTGAATGGCGTTTTCTTCAATCGTAGTGGTGATTTAATCAATTCTACCACCTTGTTTTGTGGACATGAGAGAAAGCAAAAGAAAGAGAAGAAATGGAGAGAGAAGAATTGAAGTTGGAAATTGCCAATCCATTTCAATTGATTATTAAGCCTTTTCTTTCCTTTTCTGGTCATTTATGAATAGCACATTACCCCAGAAATAAAACAACTCTTTCTCCATCGTTTTCTCTAATATCTTACATGCATTTTGTCTCTATTCAAACCAAATGTTAATGTCTCATTCCAATTTTGATATATTATCTTATATAACAACAATTATTACTCTTTATCAAATTTCTTATTTATATATAATTGATACTTAATTTATCTTAATGGAAAAATGATGATATATATAATAATCAATTTGTCCAAATGTTGCAGCACAGCAACAAAAGCTAGCTAGGACCAAAAACTGATAAATTGTGTGTATTTATTAATCAAGTCCCAAATCATTGGTAAAGTAATAGGATGAATTGATATAGTATTAACATTGAGAGGATCATCTATTTTCAAAAACAAACAAGGCTAACACAAACAAGTCGATCAGAATAATGGGGCAACTTGTACAATCATCCATGTCTCTCAGACAGATTTGGAGAAGCACATTAGGTTTCCAAGCTATTTTCTTTTGTACGTAAAAAGAGGGTTTAACTTTTCCATTTTCTTTCATATCATTCAAAGTATTGATGTCTCCATCTCCCTGTTTGCTTCCAATAGCCAAACTCCTTGATGTTATTCCAACCTTAGGCATATGATCTCTAGATATGCCTGTTTTGGAGTATATAATTTGTTGTGTCCCTCTCACAGTCCCCATCACTATTGTCATTCTCATTTATTTGTTGGTATTCCCATTTCTCAACTTGGTAAAATTCAATAAAAGCAGAGGAGCCTCATATTTTGACACACTAAATTTGGTATTTCCCTTGTGTTTTCGTTCCGAATCTGTTAAACGCCAAATGGGAAAAGCATAGAATAAGAATGCAAAAACTATGGCTATTGGCTAGGGGTTTTATACTTTCATAAGTACAGGAATGGCTAAAATGTCAAACGAGCGTCCAAACAGAAAAGGACAAGGACCACGCGATAATGATCGGACGGGCCATGTGACACGAGGGTCAATCAATACAGTACAGACAAACAGAGGCGCATGGACCGAAATCCACCATGACATGGACAGCTAGGCACATGCATGGTTAAAAACCATCATCCATCATCGATCATCGCACCGTGCATGCACACGTGGCTAAAAAGTCGTCGGTGGGTCCAATTTCCATGTGTATGCCCATGCTGCGATCATGTGGTGTTAGGGGTATGCAACAGTGATTGAAGCCAAATAAAAAAAAAAAAAGGGAAAGAAAGAACCGAAAGAGTGAATTATTGCAAGTGGGAGTGTGCGGGAGGAATTGAATTGAAAGGAAGGCTGGAGAGGATAGGAATTCCAACTAAGGTAGGGACAGGTGGTTTGAGGATGAAGTTTGGCAACAAGCTCTAGGTCTCTGCACTTCATTTCTGCTTTGAAAATACAAAGATATGGACCCATCTTCTTTCTTGGGCTTGTGCCTTTCCCCAGAGTCTCTTACCTAGCAAGAATTTTGAGTGGATGATAGGGTTTGAAGGGATGGGAGATTAGTTTGTCCCCACATTGCTTGGAAATTGAATGCTAAAATTTTGTTATGCATGTTAAAATATGTTACTACTTAATGAAATTTTAATAATTAACATTAGTGTATGTTAAAAGCATAACTTCCGGTATTTGATAGCCAATAAAAAGTGGTAGAAGGGAAAGAGAGGATGGGATTTCTACAACTGTACTTGATGAAAGATGGTAAGGCTTTTCCTTCTTTTTGCCCTTTCTCGTAAAGTTGGCAAGTTGCCTTCGCTTTCCCATGTGATCTTTGAGCCAAAACTACAAGCATCTCACGCTCCATTACCCTCCTCTCAAAAAACAGGACAAACTGACTGAGAGTGACTCAATTTAGGGGTATTTTACAGCTAAAAGGCTATCATAGTCTTACTTTATTAATGCATTGACCAATGAAAAGATAAGTATATCCTGAGGCTTGATTCTATTATTAGCATTGCAGGAATATCTTTTGCCAATTAATATGCATGTTTAAGGAGAATTAATCTGTTATGTTGGGATCAAGTTTTTCCATCTTATGTAAATGTTGTATGTCTGTATTTACGAAGAAATATTGTCATGTCTTTGAATAATTAGATCGTGTGGGTATTTCCCTTAACTTGCTGACTTTGGTTGTAGACAAAGTTATATTAAAAATAAAAATAAAAGAAACAAACAAAGACACAGTGTTAATTTAGCCCCGAAATTAAGTAAATTAAGTTGTCATAACCGATAACAAAGAAAAGATTTCTAATCCTTTTTTTTTTTTTGCCTTTCTCTTTATATAAAATGATTTGGTGAGCTTGCTTTAATCTCTTTTTTGGTATAACTAAACTTGCTTTAAAGAAATTCAACAATTCAACAATCTTTAGCATGGAATTAGCAATCTGATCTTGACCCTTGCCTCCAAGTGTTGCTCAATATTTAAGAGTTATATATATAGAGGAAAATGTCATCATTTAATCATCAACGCAATAAGCAAATTACAACTTGCATGTTATTAATTTTTTTTTTTAAATTTAGGTAATTGAGTATCTAATGTTTGTATATCGTACTTAAAGAATCTATAAAAACAATAGGCAGCGGTATCAAGTCTTAGATCTTCCCAGGCATTGCTTTTCACATGCATCCCTTACTCTTTAAAAAAAAAGAAGAGGAAAAGGAAAAACCATACTCGTGACATAAATTTTAATCCAGCATTAGTTTGTCTAGCTAGCTGCATAATCTTCTACATCATGAGATCAAAAATCTTAATCTCCTCATTTTAGGATAGATTATGCAAATATTTCCATGTGAAGATAAAAATCTCCGGAAGCTGATCAGACATGTGATTAAATTCATAGTGATGATGTTATGGATTATTAGGTTATTAGGTTAGATTAGACAAGTCTAAGCAAACTTTGACAAATTAAAACTATTACCATTATAGTTTAGACTTTTTTTAAGCTTCAAGTCATCAAATATTGTACCTGAATTTTTTCATATGTTTACAGAGCACATGCACGTGAAAACAATGAAATGGACAGCCCCCAAGCCAAGTAAACATTATCATATAATTATAAAATTAAATAGGTATATAAATAAAGAAAACACAATAATTGCATTATTAGGTGGGCATGAAACATATGGTGCTGTCCTCGTGTGCGTGGCTTCATTCTCCAGCATACACTGGGGTCATCGGCCATGTAACGATTTTAGTGGCTCAAAATTTAATTTCAAACAAGCAAAAAAAGAAAAAGAAAAACCCAAAAAAGACAGCCCCTCCCTTTAATAATTCCCTTAAACTTTATTCAGGTGAAATATTTGGTATGAATATGGAAATACCCAGATCAGGTCTGGGATAAGAATATAAGATAAGATATACTAGTATATAGCAACTTCTTGCTGTAGTAGTAGTTGTTGTTGTGAACTTTTAACTTTGTGTGTTTGTCATTGATGAATTAAATTTGTTGAGCAAGTGGGGGCATGGACCAGCAGGGGGCAATTAATTAAGCCGTGGCTCGAAGGGGAATAAATGCATGCCAGCAAAAACTAATCAAGACATTTGAGAGGGAGAGATAGGGCGGGTCATGGTCGATGTAGGCTGAACCACGGACATGATTCGGGAGAGCTGGACCAGAGACAAAGCGCAGGGGACCATTTGGGTGATGGGGGGATTAGACTTTTGAAAGAGACACAGCCAAATGTGAAGCTTGCTTTTACAACCCAAGCCATGACATTTCACATTTTCAATATCAAATTCAAAACTTTAGGATGCGTCTTCTCAATTAACTCATGACCCTTTTTTTCCTTTCTTTCTTTCTTTTTTAGCGGCCTTTTTCCTTTCTCCCTCTGTTGCATTTTAGAATTCATTTCACCCCTTTTTCCTGAAAAGAGCCTTTTTCTCAATGAGTTTGCTCAACTTGGTCCCAACACAAAGGAATCTGTGACTTGTGATGAACTAATGATGCCGAACATGGGTGGGCTTTCTTGGTTCGTAATATATTGACCCGTTGCCCTTTTTAGAATGGATTAGAGATGTATCTCAGCAATTGTCAGTGTATCCATGTTCTTGGGCCTTGGTATGTTCTTTTGCATAATCAGCCCAACACAAAATCATGTGGACCAGTGGGCAGGAACACAAGAAAAGATTGTGCTATTTGCTTGCCACTCTTTTGCTCCCACCCTTTGACCCATTCAGTCAAAAACGTTATGGTCATATGTTAAAAATAATAGGAAAGTTTGCATAAAGTAGTTTATGAACTACTGACCATCAAAAACAATATATTAGCCTCTAATATGACAAAAGCCCAAAATCCCAACTATGGGGCTACAAAAATAGGTGCACTATGGGTCCCTGGATTGGTCTAAGGGGCTATTGAAATCCCTTCTCCCCATTACCAAAAAAATTCCTTCTTGAATGGCTCAATGATACTAATCTCGTTGATTTGTCAAGTTCTTGTTTGATCCCTTTATTCACAAATACAACAATTTTTTCAAATATAATTTTTTATGAAACTAAATTAAAATATAAGGCATTCAAACCAAATCATCATCCATATTGAAATTATGTTAGGATTTTTTTTTTGTAAAATCAAAGTGTGAATTTATATTATTATTTATTCTTATATTTTATAAAAACCAGATTAAGTTAATTTAGCTTATAATCCATAATATAATTTAATAAAGTAAGCTAGACTCAAATGTTAATTGTGGATTTAGGAGTGTAAGGTCATGTAAGAAACCTTAAATCTTATAGGACTAAAGATTTACTATTCAAAATTAAGTCGATATCCTTTTTCTTATCTACACAAAAACATTACGATTCTTATCCAATTTAATAGATTAAGGATCAGGAAAATCTTACTGCACTAAATCCCAATAGTTAATCTGTTTAGTGTTATTTTTGCTATCAAATAGTATATCGAGAATCAAGTAATCTTTTTTGTGTTCTAAAATTCTATTGTAATAAATTTTAAATTAATATAAATTAATTATACATAAAATTTAACAAACAAAAGTGACTTACCATGTACTCTATTAATAATTTGAAACTTTACAGACTTGGAGAAAAAATGATTGTAAGTATAATTTGGAAGGTGACATAACATTATAATCTGAAAATTAAAAAAAAAAAGGTATTCACCACAAAAAAAATTTTGATTGTGTATGGGTTGGAACACAATTTAAGGCTTAAACGGGAAAAACAAGGCCAGTCCAAGTGCATGCCAACGCATGGCAGGTTCCAGCAGAAAAGAAAGAATTCAAAAAGGCCCAATGGAAAAATTGTGAGGCCCAATTTAAAGTTAAGGTATCCATGAAAAAACAAATGGTCAATACCAGAGTTGCAGTGGGGCAAATAATGGATTAGACAGAAGCAAAACTTGGACAAATTAAGGAAGCCTGGGTTTGCTCTTTTTCATTAATGTAAATAAATAGTAATTCCACATATGCATATAAATGTTAGAGGTATAAAACCAAGGACCAAGTCAGGAATTTTTTTTTTTTCAAAGGGAACCAATGTTCTTTAATTCAAATTGAATTTTATATTATTAAAATATTTTTAATATTTTTTCAAAATAAATTATCTGATATTTTTATTAATTGGTTTTTATTAAGTGCTTTGATATAAATGTTAATATATATAAATACAAATCTGTGTTATCTTCTACTAGGCTGTCTTTATGTGTTTGTGTTAATTCTTTTTCTTTCTTTTCACTGACATTGTTTTGTTTGAGGGATATTGAATTATAGTTGTGAGCCGCTTAAAGGTGCTGTTGTTACAATGCATTGAGTAGGATATGTATCTTGATCTCTATTCTTTTAGGTATTTATATTTATTTTTTATTATTTTTTTTGAATTGAGGAAGAAAATGCGAACTTTATTTTTTAAATAAAGAGATCATATACTAATCAATGAATTAAATACTCAAATGATTTATTTATTTTTTATTAATATAATTTTTTTATCTTTAACAAATAAAAATAAAAAATTCAATATTCAAATTCCTTTCGTTTTTTTCTTTTTTGTCATATAGAGTCCATAGGATTGGGGTTAAAGCTTTTTGTACACCATTTTTATTTTAATGAATACCATTGCTTTTCAAAAAAAAAAAAAATCCCCTTCGTCCAACTTTATTGTATAAAAGTCAATGTGTGAATTTAATACTTATACTTTATTAAAATGTTAAATTTAATCAATTTATTGTAATTCACAAAAATCAAGTCATTATACTTTTAAAATTTATAAATATCAATCTAATGGTTAACATTGTCTAGCTTCATTTGTTAAAGTCGTTAGCATGATGTTGATCAGTGTCGAAATGAAATTTTTTAAATTTTAAATGATCAAAATTTGAATTTAGTCATTGTACTCTATGAAAATATTAGATTTAGTTCTTATACTCTATTAAAATATTTGAATTTAAGTAATTAGCTAAATAATGTCTTGTCGAGGAATTTTGAAAATGGAAGAAGGAACAGGCAAGGGAGACGCAAACTGCCAGTAGGCAGTAGGTTGTGCTATTCACCTGAGGCAGTTCAACTTTTGCAGAAGGTAAAATTTTCCCAAATTCATTGCGCCAATATTGGCAAATCAGCAGCGTTGCTAATAATTAATTTTATACCTAATTCTGTTAGGTAACTGCAGAGATCATTGGAACTTATTTCATAATATTTGCAGGGTGTGGTGCGGTTGTTGTGAATGAGATATATGGATCTATTACATTTCCTGGAATTTCACTAGTTTGGGGTCTCATTGTCATGGCCATGGTTTACTCAGTTGGTCATATTTCTGGTGCCCATTTCAATCCAGTAGTCACCATTACTCTCACCCTTTTCCAACATTTTCCACTCGAACAAGTGAGGGTTTCTTTTTTGCTTTTTTGGGTATTACTCTGTTGATCATATTTCAACCTTAAACCTAAGTTAATTAGTTTTAATTTCTTGTATGCATACGCTCCCACTTGCCGTGAGAATGAATGACAGGGCGTCTACCATGATAAAACTTGCCCGAATTACTAACATGAGCTGTCTAGCAGGTGCCTATATATATAGCGGCGCAGATGTTAGGATCAATTCTAGCTGGCGGAACCCTGTGTCTCCTTTTCGATATAAGTCAAGAGGCCTACTTTCGAATTAACAATACCAGTTGGACCCCATCGTCGATCTCTAATCCTTGAGATTATCATTTCATATCTCTTTTTATTCGTCATATCTGGTGTAGCTACAGATAATCGAGCTGTTAGTAACGTTGTTAATTAATTTTTCTCAATCTAGTTTCAATTTCATAGATGAAGCACCAATTGTTATGATTTCATTTCATATTTTGCAGATTGGAGAGCTGGCTGGAATTACCGTTGGAATGACAATACTTTTAAACGTCTTCGTTGCTGGGTAATTTATGAATGCAATTGCGATCCCACATAATTCAAGTCGTCCTTCATGATCTTCTCTAACTTCTTCTGAATATAAATTTTCTTTTCCTGTTGGAAATGACCATAGACCGGTTTATGGGACATCCATGAACCCTGCGAGGAGCATAGGACCGGCTGTAGTGATGCGTGTATATGAGGGATCTCTGGATTTATGTGATCGGGTCAATCGTGGGCACCATAATGGGAGGTTTTGGTTACAATTTAATTAGATTTACTGACAAACCTCTTAGTGAACTACCCAAGTCAACTTCCTTTATCAAGACCCTTTCCAGAACCAGAAGCAATGCTCGCTAGACGCTAGGCTTTTCATCATTCTATTTCTTTATATTCACTCTCCCAGCCACAAGCATTGCTTATGGTGGTTCAACCACATGCAGTTCATTCAATCAAACCTGAACGTTTGCACTACTTTTTTCCTTTCTCTAGTTATAGCTAGGATTAATTTTGTAAAGCATTGTCTATACATATTGACTCTCTAATTATATATGGTCAAAATACCCATCAAGTCCCCGCATATATATATTTTATTTAATTTAGTCTATATATTCAAAATTAAAATAATGTAATTTTTTAATTTTGAGAGTTATTTTAATTTAGTCTATTCTCTTAATGATATTCAATTTTACCGTTAAAAAGTATGACATCAATGTTGACATGACATATTTTCATGATGTGACATATCACATGTCATCGATGTGACGTGATAATATCATGTGATATTAATATGATGATACGGAAATTCTAACATGACACTGACATGCTAACGTATTACTGTCATGTGACAGATAAAAATTTTTTTTTAAAAAAAAATTATATCACCTCATAGGGATTAAATTGAATAAAAATATATTATATAAGGATTAAATTGTATAAAATTGATATGTTGAGGGACTAAATTAAAAATAATATTTAAAAAATATAAATCTTTAAGTAGATGATAGATATACTTATTAATAAGTGAAATATTTAAATATAAAATATTTATGGTGTTAAAAATATATATATATAAAAATATTTTCTTACTTGCTTATTTCATTATAGGATATGTATATTAATTTATCTTATTTTCAAAAATTAAATTTGAATTCTCCTTCTATAAAAAAAATTTCAAAAAAAATTTGATACTTAAAATCATATTTAGATGAATGAATAACTTGCATTATGTTAGAATAAAATAATATAAAAGCACTAAATAAATTTTTTTTCTTTTATTTATAATAGTACAATTGTTTTCTTTATTTATTTTTTATGTTTTTATTTTGTTTAATATTTCAAAATATAGCTTTTAGGATGAAATTTTTTGGATTAAAGATTGCATTTATGGTTGATAGAATTAATAATTGTAAACATTTGCACTATTTTATTTTGTGTTTATAAATTTTTATAGATCCAAATTAATAATTTAAATTTAAATTTACCAAAAATTGATTATGGTATTTGAATTTAAATAAATTCATTTTATAAGAAACTTTGAATAAATTTAAATAAAAGGTAAATTGAGTGAGGGTTGAATAATTTCAAAAGAATAGATATTTGTTAATTGTGAAAGTTGCAACTAAATATTTTTTAAATAATTTCAACTGAATAGGTATTTATATTTTTAAATATTTTTTTCAATTTAGTCTCTCAACATCTTAATTTTATTCAACTTAGTTTTTGTACTATATATTTGTGTTCAATTTCATTCCTATGACATTGCACAAATTTTTTTTTAAAAAAATTTTATTGCCACATGGCACTGCCATGCTAACATGTCAGCATTGCCATGTCATCATATTAATACCGTATGGCACTACCATGTCATCACGTCGATGCTATGTGGTATGCCATGTCAGTGTTGACATTATCTGTATTAATGGAAAAATTTGATGCCATTAGAAAGAGGGACTAAATTGAAGTAATTTTCAAAATCAAGGAACTAAATTACTTCGATTTTGAGTATATAGACTAAATTAAACAAAATGCATGGGTATGGGGACTTGGAGGGTATTTTGACCAATTATATATAGTTGCCATATAATGTTCCTATACCTATTACTACTACATTTTGTTTGCAAACCATGGTTCATGCAAAGCATAAATCATATTGTTTCCATTCATTTATCCATATATCAAGATATGTCAGTCAAAGATTATATATATATATATATATTAAAATTCTTTTATTGGAAACGAAATTCAAGATTTTTATTTTGAATTATTTAATCAAAGTATGACAGATGAGATTTCTTAGGTGAAGTCCATCAAATTCTCTATCGTATCTAGCAGCGAATAAACAGTATTAAATACTGACAATATCAAGGGAAAGTGTTTAATAACAACTGTTAATCATTTTCGATGCCCGTTTAACTCCAAGACTGCGGATTACTAAATCTTTATGATCAAAATATGTTTCAATTGCTTTAAGTCATTACACTTTGGCCGAAGAATGTGTTACAGTTGAAATAATTTTTTTTACGAAGAGAAAACATTACAAAAATAACATTTAAAAAAAATTAGGAAAGTGAATATAAGTTAAGACAATTAAGTAGTGAATCAAAGACAACAAAATTTGGTGGTTATGTTAGAATTGCCATATACCCTATAGTCAATCAATTCGGTACAAATATACATTCTTATTATGTCTTACATTGCAATGACATTTTTTTTTTGAAAAGCAACATTACAATTATTTTTTTTAATTAGGGAAAAGGGGATTCAAACCCTACTCTTTAGACAAGTAGATCATGCATTAATCAATAAACTAAATGCTCAAATGTAGACAACTTTACAATTAATTAATGATCTCTTTATCTATAAGTTTATATGTAATTGTTGTTATTTACTTATAAACATAAAGTTTATGATAAAAACATGCATGCTTTGCAAAAAGAATTATAAAATGCAATACTTATCAGATTCTTATTACAATGCATTATTTTAAATTATTCCTAATCGATACTTTATCAAGATGGAACATAGATAAAGTTAAGAGAACAAATGATGTTATACTTCTTATTTATGAAGTGAACAATCTATCTTATAGGTTGAATATGGAGATATGTGAATAAACATGCAAGTGCTTGTTAAAGGACAAGTTCACTAAACATGACCTATTATGGATTTTATTTGATATCTCATTCAAGTGTTTATAGAACACAAATTCTCATGTGACAGTTGTATAATTAATCTTTAGACTTGAGGTCATTAAGTTATCATGTGTTTAGAGTGTTATACTTTAGTACTGTCTTATGTAGTCTTAGCCAATGATGTACAATGAGATAGATATTGACTATAGCATAAATAGATGAATGATCAACAAAATAATTCATCGTTCTAAGTGATTCTAATGGAATATCACATTACTTTTTAACATGTTTTAACTCAAGGAAATTCTTGGTTAAGCTTGAATTAGGATTTTGAAAGGTGTTTTCAAATTTCATTAAAAGACTTAATGATAACTAGAGCTAACATGGTTAAGACATATATAGATGAATGATCAACATGGTTCAATAATTAACTCGTTATTTAACATTTAGGATACTAGTACTATTGGTGCATTAGTTAATGAAATGATTCAATTACATGGTAAGAAAGTGCACCTAAGGGTAAGTCAAATACATTGACTTTTTTTGTTTTAGCATTTGAATAGTTATGAAATATTGTTAGATGTCAATCTTGATTTGTAAATAGGAATAAATTAATTTGAAATAAATGAAAAATGGAAAGGAATTTGATTTATCTAATTCTATTCAACTTACAATTATCATTTATATTTATTGTTAACATATTAAGAATTTAAAAAGTCACACATTAAGAGTGACAATATGATTAGAAATTTAGTTGGACTTAATTTCAAAAAAATTTGGAATATAAATAATTTAATTCAAAGGATTTAATAATAATGTAATGATTTTATAAGTAGTTTAAAAGTTATGTACATCCTACTATAGTAAAGATAAGTGAAATTGCCTATATTTATGAGAGCTTTAGCTACACAAAATACAACACAACTTATATGGTAGTCTCAAGAAGAATATAACCTTGACCAAGCACTAGATATCACGCTAGACTTTCACTCACTCCTTAGAGATTTTTTCACCTATCATTCACGTCAATTGTCAATTAAGACTAAACACTTGGATAACTTGTGATTTGCGAAAATTTTACTATTGGTGCTTCATTGCTTCAACAATAATGCTCTAAACCTTGGGAATTTCAATACCCAAGGATTAAAGGTATACTATATTCTTACTTGTAGTTTGAGTTATCTAATAAGCGAACCAAAGAATGATTTTGCGTTAGGGAAAATTTTCAATTGCATTTATGTCAATTTGATTGCATGATTTCCAAACACTAGTATTATAAAACCTCCTTCAGGCTGTTTAATGAAAACTTTATGTTTAATTGATATTGATTTTAAGTATGCTTAATTATATGTTAATTTAGTGCAAAGTTTATATGAGAGTATTTTTGAAAAACTATTTTTGAATGAGTTTTATTAGTGAAATAAACTCAATGTAAATAATTTCGAAAGAGAGTAAATTAGAATCTTTTGAAAAATCCTTTTCAATTTAAAGATTTTAAAATCTTCTTGAGTAAGATCTTCTTTGAATTAAATCAAGACAATAAATTTTTTTAAAAAGAGATGAATTAACACAAAATCAATTTGAAAGAAATTGAAAAGTTTGAAGAGATTGAACAACACAAGAATTTTATAAAAGTTCAACCTCCTTCCCTATGTTTTCTCCCTTAACTTCACTAAGGAATTTAAAATCTACTATTGAAATAAGGTTCAATATAATACCTTTTGTGGATTAAGCACAACTTTTCAATACAATGCCTTTTGTGATTTAAGCATAGCCACTCTACCTTCTATCTTGGTTAAGGTATAATCACTCAAATACTACTTTTTTAATCAATTAAAATATAACCACTTCAAGGAACACAATTATAAAAAAGATAAGTGCAACTGGGATGCCTCTTAAAGGCTGAGTAGCAGATTAAGTAAAATGTTTAGTAAGGAAGAAGATAAATAATAAAAGCCCAATAAATAGTACAATAGAAGACTTAAATGCTAGAAAAGGAGAACACAAAGTATTGAATAATTTGAGTCGAATTCTTTTCTTGAAATTGTGTTTCAAAGTCTTCCAACCTTCACAATGTGGTGGGAGGTTGTATTTATAGTTGCTAAAGCTTCAAAAGTAGTTGGAGATACATTAAATGTGAAAATAGCTGTTTTTCTTTTCATTCTAGGCTTCAATAGTCATATTAGATTGATACATATGTAGATGTATTAATACATTGCTGCTTTTATTTTAGAATTTCCATGAAAATCTATCGATACATTTTGGAATGTATCAATACTTTTAGGCTTGGCTACAAGGGTTTGACCATTTGATTGAAAATGTATCAATTGTATGGATACTTTTGAGGTGGTGAGCATTTTGTTAAAAAGATATCAATACATTTATTGATGTATAGATACTTTTAAGGCAATCAACATTTTGTTGAATTTCTATTGATATATTTTGAGAATGTATCGATAGATTAAGTTTGATTTTGTGGATTTTGAACTTTTTCAAGAAAATGTATCAATAGATTTTAATTTCTATCAATATTTGTCCAAATATATTGATACATGATGAATATGTATTAAACTCATTTGCAAGTGCTAAGGGATATAAAGGCTTGATATTTTAAACCTTACATGAAATTTTGATCATTTTCTTTTGTTATCTCAAAATATGGGATCAATTTGAAAGTTATAGATTTAACCAGTTTTAAAAACTTAGATACCATGCTACCAAGACTTAATTCAATTTGTTTTGTTGCTTGTTTTTGGTGATTTGTAACTTCATTCTTGATTATATGTTTGTGGTTTGATAATGTTTGTTGGGCTTGGATTTGTGAGACTGACTTTTGTGTTGATGGTGGTTGTTGTGTCCATTTTTAGAATTTTTTTTTTGATTTGTTTATATGAGTATTTGGTTTAATTTTTTTTTCTTACAAAATTTTTAAGTGCATATAGCCACCATGGCCATCTCCTTCCTTTCTTTATTATTATTAAATAAAAGAAATAATAAATTTTTTTGAAAAAAAATCAAGTAATTGACGTGTCACATGTAAATCAGGAAACCCTTGGAGTCAATTTTCGTATATATATATATATATATATATATATATATATATATATATTATAGATTCATTGGCTTAATAATAAAAAAGATATTATACTACAATCATTTCTTCAACTACATCTCTCACCTTTTATTATATCAAAACAAGTACTTAAGTTTTAATTCAAATCCAAAAAAAACCCTTAACGTTAATAAAAAAATTAAATATCATTAAACTCAATACCAGTTGCTATTTTATACTTATATAATGATATGACTCGACAAATTGACGTGACAAAATGTGTTGATTACATCAGCTATCAATTTCAGAGGCCACATGGACAGAAAATGCTGGTTGGCATTGAGTTTGATGTTTTTTAATTTTCATTAGGATTAAAGGATTGTTTGGGTGCAAATAAAAAATTAAAAACTTGTTTTGGTATGATAAAAGATTAGGGGTTTAAAAGTACAAAGAAGGAAAAGATTAAGGGTTTAAAAGTACAAAAAAATGATTAGGGGTCTAAATTAAAAAATGACCATAGTTCAAAAGCTTTTTTGATATTTACGCCTATTCCGTTAAACTTTACATCACACAATCAAAGTTATAGAATAAAAATTCAATAATTTATGAATTTTACTAACTAACCCTTAAATATATGTAATTTAAAAATTTTAAAAATATATTATAGCTTAAATCAACTTTAAAAATTCATTAACTATATTCAAAATTGGATTTAGATAACAAGTCTCCAAGGCCATATGATAATATATATTTATGACAAAAAAAAAAAGTTTAAATTGCATATGGATAGTTATTTCATATTTAAACGAACTCATTTTATATATTATTTAAGTCTTAATGAATCAAATCGGATTACAATCCCACAAGAGGAGCTAACAAATAGCAAACTCCATATATAATTAGTAGGTCATCAATCATGATCAGTGATGACCATGAAAATAAAAATATTGATGCAATTATCGGCTTGTGAAATGAACTCGACCAAAAAAACAAATGAACTTACAAAAGATGGGAATCATATAGTAGTACTAGTATCACACATCTGAAACCAGACAAATGTTACTTTTCCACGTGCAAAGCCTTATTTGACTACAAAAGGAATAGCCATAAAATTAACACCCCAACTTCAGTTGCGACTACATGCATCTACATTTCCGACATACCCTCTCTCTCTCTCTAAGAAGGTATGTATAGATAGACCAAAACACATGGAGTCACATGAATTATGCACTGTCAGAGTTATCCACATGCTTGCCTGCCTAGCCTGCTTCCCCCAATTTCATGCTCTCTATATCAATGCATGCATTGCATGGCCGATGTTCAAATGTGACACTCTTGAACATGTTCATATATCTCTCATCCAATTAAGCCTATCCAGAATAAATCAAGTCCTCTTCGATCCAATTTTCTTAAAAAAAAAAAATTCAATGATATAAAGTATAAATCAACCAGCTAGCGAGCCACGGACTTCCCTATTTGATGTGGATCTCTCACCAAATGTTCTTGCAAGTTAGATGGTTAGCTGCATGGGTCCATTGACCAAGGGTTCTCATTTCACATGCATGTGGGGTCTATTTCGTATTTATTTGCCTTTTTTCTTTTTCCTTCTAAAAGCTTTCTCTAGTTTTGGAGTAATCACATGTATGCATGAAGGAAAAGATACAAATATATACTACTAGACTAGTCGATATTAATTTGGTAGCATTTTCAGTTTGACTGTTTTTTTTTTTACAAATGAATTTAAGCGACATAACAAAAGATAATTTTTTTTCTCTTGTCCGCAATAGCATAGTTTTAAACGCATTTGTTTTCACTTATCCAAACAAGCAAGAAAAAAGGCATTATTTTGACCAAGATCTGCTCCCTCCATGGCAATAATCATGTGGACCCTGTGTATGACGTGTAGGGTGTAGATGCAGCTAGAACTTAGAATCGTCAAACATGAAGGAGATGATGACATCTGTACTGGAACGCAGGCGACCCGGTACGATCGACGTAGGTCGGGGTTCCAAATGACATGGACGGCCCCTACACGTGCAAGGCCTGCTTTCGCGTTTGTACCTATTAATGGCTCATTGAGCCCCACTTGAGTCAATCATGATCCTCCTTCCCTAATCGAACGGCCCCCATCATTGCATCAATACAAAAACCTTCACCATCATTTCTTTAAAAGTTTTAGGGCCCCACCTTGAAGATCAGATCCACATCAGGTGCATGCTTTGGCTCTTGTTAATTATCCAATCATGAATTTAAAAAGTGCTCAACACTTTGCATTCTCTTTTTCTTTATTTGTTTCTTTCTAAAACATAAGAAAGCAAAAGCCTTGAGCTATTATGAACAAGATAAAATTTAAATAATATACTAAAACAAAGATTTGAGCTTTTGTTCCTTGATGCTGTGACGGTGAGATTGAAAATAGTGTTGGTAATGAAATTAGTATTAACTAATAATAGTATATTAAATAAATTAATGAAAAATATAATAAAATAAAAATTCAATGAAATGATTACTGTTTTCCTATATATTGAAATAAAATGATATATTAGTCAATAATATATTTCACATATTTATAAGTAACAAATAATCTTATTTAAAAAATTAAAATGGTATTTATATACTTGATTATGAATGTACTAATTTATTTTTCTTTAATTAATTATGAATATATTATTTCATTTACTTCCTAATTTATTTGATATATAGTTACATATTTATTTATATTTACTTACTGTTTTTTTTATTATGTAATTACATAGTTGCTTATTCATTGAACCAGATAGTTATTTATTTTTATATTTTCATTTAAATTTTTTTATTAATCAATTATATAATTATGTAGATTGTTTGTACTTTTTACTTCAAATATTAATTTGTACATTTTTAAAAAAATTTCGGATCCAAATGTGTAATAAACTGGAATTAATATTGTTAGGTAGATATCATATTCATATATAGAAAGTTAAAATTTAGCAATTCTTTTTAACATGGTTAAAACAATTTTTTATTTGCGAGAAGAATCAGACCTAATTTTTTTAAACAAGGAATATATGTACATAATATTGAGTGAAATATTTAGGTATAAAATTAAAATTATAATAAATAAGTACAATACTATATAGGGACAAGAAATAGGACTGCATATTAATATAGTCAAGCCTTTGGCCCTACAAAAGATAGTAAATATTTGCTTGCAACCACTATGAATACTAATGTCACATTCAATATCAAGAGCCTCCAATTTCTTTTCATTAATTAATAGTTAATTAAGATTACATTATAGTTTGGGTGCTGCTATTTAGGCAGAAATAGTTTATATTTACTTAGTAGCTGTTTGGTAAAACGTCAAAACAGACTCTTTTTGTCCTAAAATACATTTGTTTAACTTTTCTCATTTGGGAAGTTGCCAAACGGGTCCTAACATTAGATCCACTTATAGAAAATTGTTGAGTGGAAACAGTACTGGGAAAGTCAACAGATTAATGAAGTGACACGTGGGACATCCCTACTAGTTCAATCCCTGTTACGCTGCCGTTTTAAACTGACCACGATTCAAATCAGAATCTTCTTCGTCTGATCTGAAATCAGAGCCGTTTGATTCTTATTGTGGTGACCTGATGAGTACAAGACAAAAAAGACAACCAACCCCGCAGGATAATATATAATTTTTTTAAAAATGTTTTATTATAATGAATATGTTTTGATTGATCTGAACTTTCTAAGCTCCTCGCAAACTTTTTACACTTAAACACTGAACACAACAAACTCGCAAAAGCAATTAAAAAAGTAAAAAAAGGGAACGGAAGAAAGATCAGAAAGAAAAGCAAAAGAAAAGAAGAGAAAAGAAAATCTTGGAGCTCTGGTTTTGGTATTTCATTCTTAGTGTGTTACTCGCAAAGCACGTTTGGTTAAGATTCGTTTATTACTGTTGACGCTTTCAAGAAATGTGTTTTGCATTTGGTTGATTTGATCCGTTGATAAGTTAAGGATGTCGGCTGCTGAGTGTTGATTTTTGAGGTAACTGATGTTTGGAGCTTGATTTTGGTTGCAAATGGCGGGAGAGATTGAAGAGCCTTTCAGCATTAGTTTTCAGGTAAATCATTTTTTTTTCTTCTTTTAAAGTGTTTGGATTTATAAGCTGGAAATATTTTTTTTGTCAATTGTGTAGTTATTGTAGTGCTTACTGAATGTATGAGATCGTTTTACGTTAAGAAATGATGAATTGTCTCATTCATTCTTGAATCTTGGCTTGAACTAATGAAACGATAAGCTCATGGATGAAGGCTTCTTTTTTAAAAAAAATTCGTTTTATTTTGGATTTCTTGACATTTTATTTAGGACTAAAACAAAGAGCCAAAAAAGAAAATACTGGTTGGTTCACTTGATTTGCAAAGTGAACTTGCATCTTATCTATATTTTGGTCTTAATTTTTGACAATGATCTCTTTCTCTCTCTCTCTCTCATTTTTTAAACTCTTTATCTGTTTCCCTTTTGGATGATTGAAGTTTAAGCTTCTTCAATCTATTTACTTATTATCGATATTTCTGTTTCTGCTAATGAACCGGTTGATTTGTTATCGTTCGATAATGATCATTGTTCTTTATGTCATCATATGGAGAAGGCCAAAAGATTTACTTAACCTCTTCCTATGTTCTCTGGATCCTTTCATTATCTGCTTCCGTTAATAATTTTCTAGTTCTTTTTTCCTTGTGGGGGAGGTGGGGGTTGGGGGTTGGAAAGACTAAATTTATGGTAACAGTGATACAATTAGAAAGTTATCATGTACACTGGTAAGTTGCTGTCAATACTTTCTATATAGCATAATTATCTGCTTTTGCAGCAGAGTTATTATCCTTATGGGGGATTACAACTCATAATCAAGGTTCACAATTGTGGGCCCCAGAAATTAATTTAGACGCCACACACATAAACCTAATGATGGTTATTGGAAAAGTAATCAAGAGGAGCTGAACCGCAAAATTAGGGCCAGGATGTGCATAAGATGAATGCCTGCTTTATACAAAGAACTGCATCTTATCCTTATGTTGACACTAATAGATAAAATTGTAGTATTATATATGTTCTTATTCTTTTTTAGATTTCAAATTGGCTATGGCAACAGATTTGTTAATTAGAAAGTTCTACTATATTATTCTGAAATATTGAAAGTCTATAGAAGATTGTCACTTACTATAATGGCTTACAGTATCCCAAGTGCCCCCACAAGCATTTTTGCTGATGAAATTGGACCAAAAAGAAAAACCTATAATTGCCAACTTCTTTTATGTGTTTCTGATAGTAAATTGTCTTAGAAAACACAACTTACTTCATTGTAGCAACTAATTTGTCCAACCATTTTATTTTAACTTCTAATTTTTTTGAACCGGGCAGGCAGAATCTTTCCATTCTGGTTCTGTATCATTTGGAAGATTTGAACACGAACCCCTAGCTTGGGAAAGAAGGTCCTCTTTCTCACACAATAGATATCTTGAAGAGGTTGAGAAATGCTCAAAACCAGGTTCAGTTATTGAGAAGAAAGCTTATTTTGAAGCTCACTTCAGAAAGAAGGCACTTCTTCTTCAGGGTTCATCTGAGAGCCAAAATGGGGGAGAAGATCAAACCTGTGAGAGTGATTTTGTGGAGGACGAGGGTTACAGAGAATATCAAACTGGCAAGGATGATGCTGCAGAGAATAAGGGTTGTGGAGATGAATATCTAACTGGCAAGGATGATGCTGCAGAGAACAAGGGTTATGGAGATGAATCTGATCATATAAGTAAAGGTAGCCACTGCCATCATTTTGATGAGAATGGCTTGAATGATGCAGATTATGAGGAAGATTTTTGTTGTGAAGATGAAGGGAGCCCATTTGATCATGAAAACGAAGGGAACTGGTTTGATCATGCAAATGAAGGTAGCCATTCTGCTCACTTTGAGAAGAGTCCTGAAGGTTCAGAGTACCTCGGTGAGGGTGCGTTAATGGAATGTGGAAGAGAATATTTTGGTGTTTTATCTGCTCATGAAACTGATGTTTTGGTGGACACTGTCCCTGGAGATGTTAAAGCTGAGGAGACCCATCAAAGTGAAGTTGGATGTGATAAGACACTTATAAGCAATGATAAACCAGAGAAAGAAGTAAAAGAAAACCTTGATGATGATGCAGGTAATATTGATGAATCATTTAAGCCCAGGAATCCATCCCCTAACACTGGAACCACTTGGGAAGTTGATACTGCTAATTTAGAAAATGGGCAGAATCATTCTCTAAAGGTATGGGTTTATATTATATTGGTTCTTGAAATTCTGAAAAGCAACAGTCATGTTGATACAGGTTTATGTTTATATGGGAAGAGTCTTTCACGTGGTTTTCTAATTTGATGTGTGTATTTCTCTTTATCTGTTATACTTGCTCTATTCATAAGTAGACTCAATTTTGTCTTGTTTACCTCCTCGTGGCCTCTACTCATTAATTTTTTTATTCTAGTTGCAGACTGCTATTGAAAGTAAAGCTTCCAAAGCAAGGTTGAAGTCTCTAGTGAGTCCTGATCATTCCCAGAAAAACATTTCTCGTGATTCAAAAGTAGCTGCAAAGATTCAGGTAAGAAGGGAAAAAGAAATTTCGGGGAGAACGAAAGCAGAAAAGCTGCCATTACAAACTGCCACTCCAACCCGGCGTTCAATGCACAGATCCCCCAGAAAAGAGGTGAAAATTTTGACTTTGACCTGAAGCTTTAAAAAGAACTTCTTGAAAAAGGCAACGTCTGTATTATACCCTAGTATCCATTCTCTATTAAGGATTTTTATTTTGACTTGTTGCAATTTTAATTTCCTTTTCATTGGTCTTTCTTGCCCAGGAGTCTGAAAGGTCCAATGCAAAATTAAGTGCTGAGAGTAAAAGGTATGTATTATCTCTTGCAGTTCAAGAATATGTATGTTTCATTTCAAGGGATATTTCAAATGATTATTTCATTCTTGTGGCAGTATAAAAGGACCAATGACAAAGAAAGTAATTGAAGTGCAACCTTCTTCATCAAAGAAGCTTGAACCTATTGCTCGCCAGACACCAAATAGGTGTGTAGCAACATTATGGGGATTGCTTTATGACATCAAAATTTTGACTCTTAAAACTTAATGTAGTGTAATTTTTACATAGGCTTAAGCAGACTGTCAATTCAACTAAGGCAGATGTAAAGTCTAGTGCTGGAGTATTCCAATTCAAAAGTGATGAACGGGCAGAAAGGAGAAAAGAGGCAAGCAAGCTTGCTGTCATTCTGAATTTTTCTTTTCATTCTTTAGATTAAGGTATACAGTAATGTTTTCATCTGTTCTTTTTGTCATACAATGGTTTCAGTTCTACATGAAATTGGAAGAGAAAATGCATGCCAAAGAGGCTGAGATGAATCAGATTCAAGCAAGAAGACAGGTATGGGAAGCATATGATGTTTAGAATTTACTATTTTAAGTGAAGATGAATTGGTTTTTCTTTATGTGCTTCCTCATTAGTATTTGAAAAGATGGACCACTCTAACATTTCTGGACTGACTGGTTGCTAAAATTTGCAAATAAATTGAATGCTTCATTTGTTGTTATTGCAGGAAATGACAGAGGCTGAGATTAAGCAATTGCGGAAAAGCCTTAATTTCAAAGCAAAACCCATGCCTTCTTTCTATCATGTTGCCGCAACACCCGGATCTACTGGAAACAAGGTACATTAGAAGCTGAATGTACCTCTCATATGTCTTCTGATGTGGTTATTTACACAGAAAAGCACATACACATGAGTGCATGTGTAACTTGGAACACTTATGTTGACTTGTATGTAATCATACTCTAGCATAATAGCTTTAGGTTACTCTTGTTCATTTCTTTTGTAATATCTTGAGAACCTTGATATTTTTGACATTGCATGTGGGATAATCTATTTAGTTATCTGAAGCAATAGTATTATGAGATAGGGCAATATTTAAAGCTTGTTCTTTTCACAATTATTAAAGGTTTTTGCATCTTCTTTGCAAACCTATTCTTCACGTTTCTACTGAATGTTTCATACTGGTTTAAGGAAACTTCCTTGTTCTTAGACCTTTCTTTTACGGTATGTGAGAATCTGAAATGCATTAGATTATCTGCAGTAAACAATCAAAGAAGCGAAAAAGAGATACATTTTGGTAGTTGACTGGAGAAGCACAAGGTTGAGTGGGCACTTGTACCTTAATCCTTGTTCTTAATCTCTCCCAGGAACAGAGAGTGCATCAATTTGATCTTCCCAAGTTTCCTTCTTGCCATGGAAATTGGAGTGTCATTTAATGCTACGAGAGCTTTGGATTGCTCTGAGAGTAACAGAACATAGGTGAAACATATTTTGAGTATCATAATTTAAATGATTTAAATCTCTAACTTTCGTATCAAAGATGGAAACACTGAAATACATTCTATATGGTTTAACATTTATTTGGGTTGTCCTTTCAAGCTGATCATTTATTTTGACTGTCACCTTCAGTACATGATATAAGATTTGAAAATTTGCTTATACTCCTTTCATAGGAAGTTGCACTTATATATCTCTAGATTGGACCTGTATTTATTGCTACCTTTTCCTGTGATTAATTGTCCTATGGTAATCCGACTCCCACATTTTGTATTTTTATTCCATTTGTTAATAGATTTAACACTGGATTTCTTCTATTTCTATCTCAGCCTGCATCATCTACCATGAAATCAGCTAAAATACGACAGAAGTCAGCAAGTTCAGGGATGGGAGTAACTCCAAGACCATCATCACTCTCCAAGGAAGCAAATAAACAAGTCCTTTCTGCGAGTGGATCTGTGGTAGAGTTGAATTCTCCTACAGTTGAATCATCACAAGCTGGCACCATATCTTCAACTCCACCAACTGATCGCCACAGCGCTCCTGAATCCGTGGCACGACAAAATGTGGTTCTTTTGAAGAAAGAGCGAGAGAAAGAGGGCAGCAATTTGCCAAAACATCGAATGTCAGAGAGTGGTAAGGTTGAAAAAGATCATAAGATTGGTGGCAGGCCAAAAGCGGGAGCCCAGAGAAATAGTGGTGAGATGGTAAGGAAGAACATGAAAAGTGCTGGAATTGGCAGTGGTTCTGGAATGGGCCGTTTGGCAGTTGTGGCTTCTTGAAATGATCTGTTATGGTGTTCCGTCTTCACCCATTCTTCTTTCCCATTAAGCCTAGGCGGCCAATACAGGTATCCTCGATTCTAATCAATTCACATTGAATTTAAAATGTACCAGGCAGCAGAGAAATGGCTAGGCCGAAAGTAGGTTGTTGATATTAGAGTATCCCTACATTGTAGTTATTTTGGTTTCTCCAAACAACTTAAATTATGCTGCGTGTAATGCAACATTTAGCTGGAATAGTGAATTAATAATGATGGGTTCTGTTTGAAACTTGAAAGCCTTTTGCACCCCCTAACAACCTCGGTAACAACTATACATATACATAAAAAATCAATTTATCAAGAGCATTTTGGCCATTGGACAAGTTTAACGATAGATGCACTCTTCTCGAAAAATGAAAGGATCCAAACATGAGCCCCGCAACAGTCAGACTTGCTTTATAGGATCTACAGTAGACCCTGGATGTATAATTTACATGTACATGTACTCGTACTAGAATCACAAATCTTTCTCCTCGTTTCATCCGAATGGTAATTGGTTGGTGACATCATAAAGAGAGGGCATCTACTTTTTGAGTAGTCTAAAACTCGGAAAGGTCCGATATTCATTTACTTGAAAGAAAATTAAAAGAAAAAAAAAAGGGGTAATATTGCAGCAATTTGATTTTGAATCCGTCCCCCCCTTCCCTTTGGGCAAGAATGGCTATCAAATATCAACGACCCTCGACCTAATCAAACCAAGTCATCAATGATACTGATAGATACATAATCAGTTTGTTTCTTTGTCAGGACATCTTCTCTGAAATGGAGAATGGTTCCTCAGGCAAACAATGTTTGCAAGGATAATTTTTCTGTTATTAAAGGACATCATTCTCGTTGGAAGGGGTTGTACCCAGAATCAGCATAGACCTCTGCAAATTGCTTATATGAAGAGAAATCTAGTTATAGTGCCAACAGGGAAAAATAAGAGTAAAATTAGGCCAGGACTAATGGACCCTTTTTTTTTTTTTTTT